CTGTCTCTGCTTCCTGAGGACTCTGTGTCCAGACTTCTCTCCCACCCAGGGTGCACCAGCCAGTTCTCAAACTCTCCAAGCCTGCTGTGGACATACAGGGAGTGTCCAGACTAAGCACACTGGTGAAACCCAAATCCAGCCTCGGCTTGGCTCCCTCCTTTCTCTGTCTCCTGAATGTTAGAATAAGTGAGCTCAGGCATCCAGCATGTTCACCGCCCCCGCAAGGCTTTCCTAGATCTGAACAGTCTTTCTCTATCCCTCCCCAGGCAGAGAGTGCTTGGGAAATAATGAGTAGACCCTCTGGTCTGGCACCAGCCCTCCAGTCCAGTCTGGCTCCCTGGATCTGGCTCCTTGGGTTCAGTTTATGGGAAAGCATGCTCTGCAACCCAGCACTGAACAAAGTGTCTGGAAGCATCATCAATAAAATGGCAGCGCATCTACACATTTCCCTCATTGATTTCCCTCTTCCAGCTGCTCAGGCTGCCCAGGTCAGCTCTAATTCAACATCCCTGGCAGAATAACACCACCAACCCAGGAGAAATTCCCCTTCTCACCCACCCAGTGCCCATCCCCTCCAGGCGATCTCGCCTTGGGAGCTTCAGTGCCGCACCTCGCTTCAGCAGCCCCCAGGCTTCAGGACCCTCTCTCTGCCTGAAGCTCAGCTCCTAAGACTCCAGCCCTGCCCCGCTGCAGTGGACAATGCCACCCTTGCACCGGAGGCCATCGGGGGCCACCTAGTAGCCTCCAAGTGTCCCCTCCTTTATTCCCCCAACACTTTCCAGGGAATTAAACTAAGAGTCTGAGGTGCTATTGGAAATCTTTCAAACGGTTTCAATTCTAAAAGAGAAACAAAGGAAGAGAGAGGCTGAGGGTCCTGTCCATGAGCCAGGGTCTCCTCCCCTGACCTTTGTCTCTCACAGCCATAATTCACTCTAGATATGAACAATCAGCGGAAATACCTTAAAATAAATTCCATCCTCCTGGTGTGGCCTTGAGTCCCATCGGTTAGCTCTAGCTCGCTCAGAACTGCTCCATGAGTGCTGAAAACTGCAACCCGCTCAGAGAGCGCTCTCCGGAGAAGGAGAAGGAGAAGGAGGAGGTGGGTGCGTGGGGGTGGAGGGGGAAAGCTCTGGCTCTGAAGAGAATCTAGAAAACGTAATCACAGGAGAAGCCTGCCTGGGTCTCCGCTCCAAATGCCACAATAATGCGCTGTATTATGTGCTCACGTGGTCATACGTCAACTTAAATCCTTTTATTTGAAATAGGGAATCACTGAAGGAACTAGGTTTCCAAGCAGAACATTTAACTTTGGGGGAGGGGAGGGGAGGATCCTTGACCAGCAGTCTGTAAGAATTTTGTCTAAGCAGTAGGATGCTGGGGGCCACCCCCCCCAATGAGTGCCATATAAGACCGTTTATCTCCACTTATATTTCTTTACACATACTCCAAACACAAGGGAACAGCAATGCTATCCATATTCTTAGAGTCCACTTAACTATCCTTATGGCCTCCCACCCAAAAACAAGCTGAATGCAACACACCCAAGCACTCCAGTCTCCTCTGGCCCACAGGCCAGCATATCAAAAGGCAAGGGCCAGGCCCAGAATTGATTGGCCTGGTCAGAGACTTCCTCAGGCCTGCCATTGTATGGAGTTTGCTAACACCCACACCATACACCACAGCCACTGGAGAAACCAAAAAGACCCACAGTTACCTGACAAAAGGTTAAGGCATCTCCTCCAAGTCCAGCTGGTTTTGTTCAATGGGAGCCCGCTAGAAAAGATGTGCCTGGCTATAGAATGGTTAAGTGAGGGTTTTACAAAGTCTGGAAGGACCTAGTGCCCTGGCCAAAGCTGTACTTACGCATTTCCTCAGTGCATAGCTGAGTGATACATGAAATTACAGGTTTCTAAAGATGAAAAATGTCAGGGGAAATGATCTAATTGTCTCTGCTAGAGAAAAAAATGAACCAACCTTCACTGGAGTCCCTTAAGTTAACCTGCAAGACAACCTGGGACTCTCCCTACAGGCTGGTCTATCCACCCTCCCCTAAGACAATTCTAAGTCCATCAGCAAACTCTCCCCCCAGCCCCTGCCAAGTCTCTGCAGAAACATCAATTGAAAGATGAGAAGGAGCTCCCTTCAGAACTCTCAGAACAGTCTTAAGCAGAGAACCAGCAGAGAACCAACTCTGCCAAGAAGGAACCTGACTGAAACGAATAAGCTGCACCCACCCTTATTCTACCCCTACTGCTGCCTTCTGCTTGGTGACACTGCCCACTGATTTCAACACTGCACCTTTTCACCAGCTGTCTAAAACATTCCTCTCTGCTGGTCTTAGTTTCTGAACTTTGAGAGTGCTCTGAGGCTGGTAAGATCCTCGTGCCATATTCTTTTGTTCCTTGAGAGTAAGCCTTCAGCTAGCTAAGCATGAGGACTCACTTGAAGCAGCTGCAGGAGGCTGTGTATGATTCTTTCCCTACTCTATTTCCCTGCCTGGGAGCAGAAGGGGTCTGATGAGAACGTAAAGCCCTCAATAAGGAGGCTTGGTCTTGGGGAAATCCAAATCAGAAGGGTGATAAAAGAAGAGACCTAATCCCCTGGAAGCAAGTCCACACCTAAACTGGTAGCAATATTCCAATAAGGTTCTGTTTGTAGTATAGCTGGAAGAAGGAACTTACCTAGCTCCTATCTCAGTCACAAGTTGGAAAATAAGAACCCAAGTGAAAAACCTGCCTTTCTCAGGTTTGGGGGATGGGGGAAATGGATCAAAGGCTGGTTTCCAAAAAGCATTCTCCTGTCCCCCATGATCTCAGTCCTCTAATTCTTACTGACCTCTGATCCCTTTATACCCTCCCTAATCATTCATATTGTGCCCTCCAGATACTCTAAAAAAGAACCTGGAAATATTGTCCAGTTACTGGCAAACTCTCCTCCCTAAATTTCTGGAGATGTATCAACTCAAAGATAAGAAGGGGCCCCCTTCAGAACTCTCAGAACAGTCTTTAGGATATCGAAACTCTTGAGGTCATAAATCAATGGGAGAAGTCCTTGGTACTGCTTCAGAAAAATGCCTTAACCCCAGCAAGGCCCAGAGGCATGTCAGCTCCAGGTTGGAGCCTCCATACCACTGCTAACATCCCAGTTAATATTCCAACCGCTGTTTAACAATTAACATTAACGACTTGGGGTGGGATGGGGTGATTTGGTAGGATGAGAAGGGAAAACTCTGAGAAGTCAAAGAAAATTTAACTTCTGAGGTTAAAAAAACAGCTTCCCTAAGAGAGATCTTGGCCTGGGCAACCCATCCAGGGAACCAGCAGCTGAGAGTTCTCCTTCACCACTCTGAAATCCATTTTCCTGGAGCAAAGCTATGGGCTGTTTAAAAATCCAGCTGCCAGTCCCCCTTTACTCACTCCTCTGGCCTCCAACCTAGCCAGGGCTGGGACCCACACTGTGGTCCAGGCCACCAGAGCCAAAATAGAGGGAAAGTTGGCTTGGAAAGAGCAGGCAACCAAGGATACAGACCGTTAGTCAATATTTGCAAAGCTGTTGGCAGATTAGATGTATCTGTACTCAAACACTGCAATCTGATTTGTCTATCAAAAATACACTTAACATTTTTGTCCCTTTAGTTAAGTCTAGTGGGTTTTCTACTCAGCATCAGGTAAGGCTCTCTTAGCCCACTGTGTGTGTGTGCACACACACGTGTAGATAATAGATTATTATTTAACATGAGATATTTCCTGTGGGTGCAACTGTGTACAAATGGGCTCCAAGTTCTCTGGACACATGTGAATGTGTATACCTATCCTATTATACAGATGGCCCCAAATTCCTGCAACTATTTATACATGCAATTGTTCTGTTGTTTCAAGAGATGAAAATCATATATACACACTGAGTTGCAAATTCCTCAAATGTTCCATCTATATTTGATATAAACAGATACACAGTAGCTGATAAAGCAACCCAGCTTTATTATTACTGTTTACTTCCTATCGGATAAAATAATAATTGCATCCAGAATACCCTATCAGCTTTAGAGCACTATTGACTAGCATGTTGCAATTAATTAACAACCTGATATCTATTTAGGATCAATTTTAGGGAAGACTGAGGTCTAAGAAATAGAAAACAAAATCTCTAAACTTTTTTAAAAAGTAGTAATTCCCGAAAAAAGAAAGCAAACTCATTCGTTAATACCAGCTTCTGAGTGCTATTTCAGCAGCCCCTCCCCCAAACAGGCACGTAATTTATGGATCTTTTACAAGGTAATAAACCACAGTAATTACCTCACTGCATCCCAAACTAAGAGAACAAATTAAGCCAGAACTTGAAAAGAATTTTAAAGAGTTTTCCCTTGTTCCAAATAGAAAAAGAAAACGCCGAGACATAGAAGACCGTGCTTTTCCTGTAGGAAGAACCGCGAATCTGCCCTGGTGAAGGAAGAAGACCCGCTGCCTGCGAAGACCTGAACGTTCGAAATACAGCAACTTCTCTCATGCCTAGGAAAGGCAAAAGGATCCGAGAAACTGCAAGGCGGTGAGACAACTTTTCCTCAACAGACCTGGTACTGGCGACAATTTCTTAACTCATAGTCTCCGCAGTCGACAAGGAGAGCGGCCCACGCAGCGGCTGCCGCGCCCGCGCCCGTGGCCTCTACTTGCTTTTGCCCCGCTGTTCCGTGTAGTGGTTTGTTTGGGGCTTGCAAGAAGAAACAAACACACCCCCTCTGACTACCCCCACCCCATCTTTGGCTTCTGCAACCGCTGCTCAGGCCTATGGCCCAGTCTGGGGTAGACTCTTTGTCTGCCTGAAGCCCCGCATTCTCCGGGCATGCTGCTGAAGGGAATCCAACTCCAAACTCCACCGAAGTTAAATATTGACCAGAACCTCTTTCAACCGGCTGCAGTTGCCAGGAGCCCTGGAGGGCAAACTCCTCCCAGCTGCCCTGTTGCAAAGTCCCGCACAGCGAAGAGTTTTGGCACAGCGCTTACCTCCAAAGATGTTTAAATCTGAACCAGGAATTGTCTCCAACTCCAGGCGCTCAGGGAATCGCCTTTTCTGGTGTCCAGACGCTCTGCAGACAAATAAACAGCAGAGGGTGAACGATGGCTGTGAGGGAAGGGAGTTAGAGGACCGGAGTGGGAAGCGCGGCCCGCGCGGGCGCCAAGGTGGCCCCGGGGGTGACGCGGACACGGAGGAGTCGCCAGGGCACTCGTCCATGCGGCGCACTCATTGCTCGAAATGTTCCATTCTACAAATGGCCCGAAGATAGTGATTTATTTTTGTAAAATAAATGCATACTCCATCTCCGCACCCGCATTCTCTCCTCTTTCTTTCTCTTTTTTCAGGGGTTGGGCAGGGAAAGGGGAAAGAAAATGGACCAGACGAAGGAAGATGGGAAGGTGGAAGAGGCTTTGCTGATGGTGTGGGCTCCTCTCGGAGGGCTCCTCACGCACCCCAACTTGGAGAATGTGAATGCTGGCTTTATTTTCTTTTCCTAACAAAGGGAAGCCTTGTCTGGGAGCATTCAATCACGGAGTCTCCTGAAACCTTACTAATAGTGCTCATTTCTGTTGGCGCAAAATCAGACCCGGGCTCAGTCCACGGGCAGAAGGCTGTCTTGAGAGGTTTTGTCTTCTGGTTCATTCAAGTTATGGGTGCTCACTTCTTGGTCCTAGTGGGCTGGCCGCACGACCACAGCCCCAGTCTCTCAGAGCAGGCCAATTAAGGCTGCTGGAAACTGGAAGAATGCAGGCACTGAACAATACCAGATCCGGGGTCTGATCCTGCCCCGCCTGTGCGGCAGGCAAAAGTAGGCTTCGTGCCCTAATTCTGCTGCAATCTCATCCCTCACAATATTTGCAACCCTCTCTTGCCCCCTAAACATCAAACGGTTATCGAGCTGTTAGCCAACTTTTCTGGGGTGGGAGACACTAGGGAAGAGGCAAAGAATCGTGCCTTGAGCGGGGTCCTGCCTTGGAGAAGTTCTCCCCTCCACAGGGACTCTGCAGGACCCTTTGCTTCCACAGACCTAGTCTTGCTCCCAATGCTCCTTCACCCAGACCCAGGTAGCCTCTCCAAACTCCAGCCTGCCCCAAAGCAGTCCTTTGCTGTCTGCCCTGGGTCCATGCAATCCTGTTGATGGAGCCAAGAGGGGCTACCAAATAGCTGAGGAGTCTCTTAGCGCGGTAAACAAGTGGCCGCAAACCAGCAACTGCCCTCTGTCACTGTTCATCTGCAGCCCCCACATGCCTTCAAAATGGGACTCGGAATTCCTGCATCCCTTTCTCTTGTCCAAACCTGCCATCTGCATCCCCAAAGGGAGCGCCCCCTGGCCTTGCAACTCTTGGCGTGGCCCCAAGCAAGGTGGGCTCAGCCATCCTGCACTTTGCCACTCAACTTCACCCCAGAAAGATCCGCTATGCCACCATCCACCACCACCACCCAGCACGACGCTTAGGAGTACTGTAATTATTATGGTTGTTATAATTTTTTCTATTTCCTTCTCCCCAAGTCTAATATTCGTGGTTGCTGCTCCCCATAAATCGTTCAAACTAATGAGTCACAGGGAGATGTTTCCCAGGTCTCTCGCTCTGCAATGGCCGCCGCCGCCGCTGTGGCCTCTCTCTCCGCGTTTTTGGCGCTCGCTTGCTCCCTCGCTCGCCCAGCGCGAGTGATTTATGAACGCCGGGAAAATTGAACAAAGCCGCGCGCCCGTCCTGTGGTATCTCTGCAGCCTTCCCCAGCGTGAATCAGAACATTACCAACTGTCTGCGCATCCGTCCCACTTCATCACCAAAGCCAAGATGTGACCGCAAAAAACCCAAGCCCGAACTCACGTTTCACCGGACACGGCGCGCTCCCGGACTGGCAGAAACCCTGTGGAAAAAGCCCCAAGACCCAGCGAGGGCCTGCTGGCTCGGGTCCTGCCCGCTGAAGAGCTCTCTCTTGCCTTCCTGAAGGAGTTAAAAGCCTTTGGAGATAAATCTGAGGGTGTGTGTTTTAAAAAACCAAATAGGAAGTTGGAGTCTCACTTCTGAGAGATTCATTCCTAGTGAGGCCCTGACGACTCCGATCCATTCCTGACGATCTGCATTAATTATTTAATGAGTCACGTGACCTCAAAGATTACAATTTCAATATCTCCCTCCAACAGGCACTACACCTTTATCAGCTGCAACCAGAGTCCTTGTTTGGCTTTTTTGTTCCCCAGGCCTCCGGAGCACATTCACCCTTGCCCTGATTTGGGGCAAGTGACCACCATCAAAATACTGGGGAGAGCATAGCATAGCAGCATTAGTCATTCTGGGATTATGAGCATTGCGGACAGTAGGGAGCCCACTGCTCTCCCAGGCACCCTGACATCCATCCCTTCCTGAGCCTAGTGGTCAGCCTTTCTGTCTGCCATGACTAGGGTGGTTTGGTTACAAAATCTCCCCAGGTAGCTTGATGGCCCATCAGGCAAGAACCCACCCTTCCCTTCTTTCCTGGCTGCACACACCTGTGGCCATCCATGTCAAGTGTAAGCCTAGATGCATACATCTGTTCCCAGAAGAATAGCTTCTGCAGAGGAAAGATGCTCATGCACTTACCCCATCGGGGTGAGACCAAAGGCTCCATTCAACATACACACTTAGTAACATAATGAACATGGGGTGGGAATTATTCAGCTGCCTCAGCTTTCTCATCTGTAAACTGTGAAGGCTGAATCAAAATGGCCTCCTGGTCTTTCACCTTGGATACTCTTTCAATCTGGGATTTTCTTTCAGCTCCAGAAATCAATCCCAAAAAGAGTGGGGCTGGCCTGAAAGGGTGGGGGACAGGAGGGTGGCTCCATGAGTTTGGAGCCTTCAGAAGAAGAGATGCCAGAGTTCCAAGCCAGAAGTTGCAGACTAGAAGGTTTTAAGACAGCCACAGCAGCCTCCCTGATGCCATCAAGAGATGTACATTCTCTTCCTTTTCTTCTCTTTTTTCCAGCCCATACTTTTTGAGACACAAAGCAAGGTTATTCTTGGGCCAGTGTGTAATACAGAAGAAGGGCAACAGAAGCCACAGCTGAGAAAGATGAGCCTGTGTTCTTCTATAGTATAGGACTGCATCTAGGGATGCAGAGACCAAGGGAGTGCCAAGGACAGCAAGCATATTGTCTGCACAGAAGCCACTCGTTCCACGGGAAGCCCCAGGTTTCTGTTGCTACATTGATTCTTTGGTGTTTTTCTTTTTTTCCATTCTAAAGAGTCCCTGATCCATTTCTATGTTGGAACTGCTAGAGGGAAGGCAACAGTGAGAACAGCAGCAGAGTTTGGAAGCTTTGGGGAAACAAGGGGACAGAGGAGAGATGGTGAGATGGTGATACCCACCCCATGGGGAGGAAGCTGAGATGTAAGGGAGTGGGGCACCCTGGAACAGCTGGATATAAAGTCAGAAAAGCTGTGCAAAGACCCCCCACCCCATATATCTAGGTAATCTTCCCATGAGCTCCATCGTGGGTATTAAGTACTCTACTACGCCTGTCACAGTTGAATTCCTGCTGTAATAAAACACCGGGTATGTCGTAGATTTCAGCAAAACTAGGGAAGAAAGCCTGCAAAGTGCCATTTTTCTTCAAGGGGGAGAATGTTAAGTACTTAATTCAAACTGTGACCATTAAAGTGTCTCCTATCCGATTTAGGTTGATTTCAGATGTTGACAAAACTTTTATCTTCCAAGTCATGCACAGCTTGGCTCTGTGACTAAAGCAGATGAGTGTGTATTGGAGGGAGGAAGGGAGGGAAAAGAGGAGAAAATTCATAAGGGTCATTTTGATAGGAGAATTATAGAACTTACACAAAATACTGTCTTTAAAGGTCAAGGGTTTAAGGGGCCAGTAGGGTTTGCTTAAAAAAAAAAAAACAATTAATGAGATAGAAAATTTGTCCTCTCGGTGAACTCTTATGGTTGCCCTAGCAAAGGGCAGACAATGCACGATTTTGAAGCACAAAGTGGGATTTTCTAATCTGTTACAACAAGCTCCCTTAAAAGCCAAATCTGAAACAGGCAAAACACTGTGAAGAAATGACATGATCATTTGGATCACTTTCAATAATTTTGATTTTGTAAAACTTGCCAATACCTTAATAACCAATACAGTTTGGACAAAAATGCCATTTTGTCATGGAATATCAGAAAAACTATATCTACTCTCTCTCTTCCTTTTCTGGATAGATTATAAAAGCAAGTGAAAGAAAGTCACCCCCTTCATCCCCACACAAGCTGCCTCCAGCATGAAGCTAATGAATGTCCCCATACCTCTCCTTCCCAACAAAGAAGAAATATAAGAATTTACCTTAAATGATGACAATCTGCCATTTGAGATTTTGCAGCTTGACACTCAATTTCCACCAAGAGTCTAGGCATTTTTTTTTTTTAGCAGACAGCCAAGATGCTGCGTCTTTGCCCGAAACCACATTATTTGCAAGAAGATCCCTCTCTCCTCCACAGACTTTTCCCAGAGAATGCCTTTCAGAATTGCTGTTGAATTACAAAGAAGTATTTATTGTATGAGGTGATTAATGATTCCTGGGAAAATTGCTATTTTCAGCGTGATTTAATTTCGTTTTACAAGTACGTGTAGCGGGGGGAGAGTTAATAAGTTTCAGCAGCAGTTGCACTGCCTCCAGAAATCCTTGGCACTCATTCACACCTTATAAAATATGCTTTATGCCAGGTTTGCCATGACTTAGGAAGGCATGTGTGTATTTGTTTGCCCCTGAATTTTCTTGGCCACTTAGAGACTAGTGTCCATCACTTTCTTTTCAACTCTAGTTTGTCTGTAGGTACAGAACTGATCACCCTTGTCCCTATCACACACAGGGCAGCAGGGTGAAAGAAGTACCAACACTGACACCAGCTAAAGGGTTTTTCCACTGATGAGAAAATGTGTTTAAAATTCCTCAGATATTGCAGAGGTAATTGAGCACCCCTTTCATCTTTGCTAAAATTACTACATGACCTAAAAGCTACACTTTTAAAGGCCAGGTGATAGTTCTAATATTATGGGGCTAGCGTGCATTGGTTTTCTGTATCTTGTTGCAGGGTACTCCCTGCAGTGAGCACCAAGTCTAAATCAGTAAACAAATACTAGGGTTAAGGAGATTGAGAAATGGGTTTTGATTTTCAACCTTTTGGATCTAGATATCTGGGATTGAGCAGAAAGATCACAGACAATTTGAGGAAAGTGACCCCCGTTCACAGTTTGGCTTTCTTCCAGCAGTGAACTCTCCCAGGTCTACTTTGCTTGGGGTGAATTTGGGGAGTATCATTATGCTTTTTCTTTCCTCGGAAGAAACTTTGGAGAGTATACTGGCAAAATTCACTTTATTTTGAAAGCTATTCTTCCAAAAAAGAGAAAAAAGCAAACAAACAAAAATCCTCAAGCTGTAGTTACTGAAGAGGACCTTAAGAACAGCCAAGAAATAAAAAACAATCTCAACCCTTTGCACAAACTATTTTTTATCTCCAGGGAAACAGGCAGATTAAGTGTGAAGGTGCAATAAATACCAAAGGGACCACTTCTTTCCAAGTGTGCTCAGAGTTCAGTGTGTAGAACAGCTGCAGAAACTCCTGGGCCTGCAGCACTGCATGGTTTCAGCTTTCATTGCAGGGAAGGACATGTTTCTATGCCTTACAGAGACTTGAAGCCTGAAAGCTTAGCCAAGTTTGGGAAGAAGAGGAGCCCTCTCAGAGCTCAAGAGCCTTCCTGCTTTTTGGAAGTTTTCCATAGTGGGTCAAGCCTGACAAGAGTTCAGCTCAAGTTGAACCACACACACACACACACACACACACACACACACACGCACACACAATCATGTGAGCAGTCAGAATCCTAGTGAACACAACCCAAGCCATCTACAAGGTTTTTATATTCAAGGTCAAGCATCGCAATCCAGAGGACTTTTGTTTTCTTGATGAAAAGCTTAGAAAACACACAAATCTGTCTTAGATTTTTAATGTTTTTTTAAATGGAGTTTATTCTTAACATATGGCTTTCTATATAGCCATATCACAATTTGTACAGTTCCATATAGATCTAAATGAACTCCCCTCTCCCCCAAGATTGTGCCCCAGAATTGGACAATATAACAATATCTTAAATAAATGCAAGGAAGGGAAACTAACATGTCACACCTACCATCAAGGTCTACACATTTTGAGAATTAAATAATCATGTGAGGCCCACAATGTCTACTCATTTATTCAGTTCAATACAAGCTTGTATGAGCTGCCTTAATAGGGGAGAAGGAGGTAAGAAAGGTGGGGAAAGGGTGTGTTTTCTTCTGCTTGCAACAAATATACAAGTACATGTCCCCCAGTCAGCACGGGCTGTCCAAGCTGACTTTAGCCATCTCAAAAGTATTTGATAGCAAATGGTCCTTCTTAGGTATCCAAACCTGACAGCCTTATTCAAGCCAGCAGGTTGTTCTACCAGCCAGCAACCTGGACAATTGTCCTCTCTTGGGTGGCAACCAGCACAAACTCTTACCCAATAATGTCTTCTTTTTGGTTATCCTTTTCACTAAGTTGGGTTTTGTTTTGGTGTCTATTATGGTCCAGATGGGGAGGGATGGATGAGAAAATGGGCAGGAAAAGACAGGAGAAAAGCAGGTAAGGGAGACAAACGGGTCTAGATTTCTAGAAGATTATATGGAGGAGGGAATGGGTGTGGAAGTGCCTGGGTGAGGGTGGGAATGGGGATGCGGGCTCTCAGTTTGTGCTTTCCCTGGTGGGCCGGCAGAGACCGAGTTGGAGGATCTCATCTTGGTGTTGGGCAGTTTGTGATCTTTCTTCCACTTCATCCTCCGGTTCTGAAACCAGATCTTGACCTGGCGCTCGGACAAGCAGAGCGTGTGGGCGATCTCGATGCGGCGCCGCCGGGTCAGGTAGCGGTTAAAGTGGAACTCCTTCTCCAGCTCCAAGACCTGCTGCCGAGTGTAGGCGGTTCGAGAACGCTTAGGCTCCCCTCCGTTATAACTGGGGTTGACTGAATGCCCAGAACCCCGAAGGAGAAGGCCAAGGAGGAGGGAGTGGAAGAGAGGGAAAGGAGGAGGAGAGAGAAGGTGGGGTGGGGAAGAGCAATTGGACATAATCATTATATAATAACCTGACACCAAGTTCACGCAAGATACATAAAACAGCAAAGAAAATGTTTCACAGGCTATTGACAACGGGAAACACCCGAGAGCCATAAAGAATGGTGCTGGGCATTGGGGCTGAAGAAAAGCTTCAAAGACACATGGCCTGAAGCCTCTGCCAGGGCAATTAAATTTATGGGGGCTATAATTACTGCCCTAACAGTTTGGCGTCTCGTAAATCTCCCGATAAAGGGACCCTGGGTACAAAAGGGTTCTCACGTTGGAATCAGGCGGCTGGCTGGCGCGCACATACCCACATCCTACTGCCGCCCAGGCCAGATGGGGGCTCACCTCCAGGAGCCCCCTTCCCCTGACCCACGCCCCGACCCTGGAACCCAGGCCTGGCCCCAGCCCGCCCTTCCGCGCCTACCCAGCGGCGCCACGTACCGGCGCTGACATGGATCTTCTTCATCCAGGGGTACACCACAGGCTCCTTGCCCTTCAGGCCCGGCGGGCTCTTGTCGGCCAAGAGCAGAGGGCACGCGGGGGCGCTGCCCCCTGCCGGGACGCCTGGGGTGGCGGGGGCAGCCTCGCAGCGCCGCGGGGGCGCGGGGGCCGCCGCGGGATGCGGCGGGGGAGGCGGCGGCCGGGGCTGCCGCCCTGGCTGTAGGACATGATTCGCATGCAGGCCGTGCGCAGGGCCCTTGGCGTGCGCTGGGGGCTGCTCAGGCTGCGGCGGCCGCCCAGGGCTGGCGTCGCCACGGTAGCCATAGGGGTAGGCGGTGTCCGCAGCACAGTGCGCCGGGTAGAGCGCGGCTGCGGGGTAGGCGGGCTCGCGGGCGGCCCGCGGCGCGTAGTAGGAGGCGGGGGGCTCGCGGCTGCCGCCCGCGTGAGGGAGCTGGGGCTGCTGCGGCGGCAGGTGCTGGGTCGCGGGCGCCGGGGGCTGCTGGTAGCCGGGGCCCCCGCCCGGGCCACCGTCTCCGCCGCCCGGGCCGCTGTGCTGCGCGTACTCCTCGAAGGGAGGGAACTTGGGCTCGATGTAGTTGGAGTTTATCAAAAACGAGCTCATGGTCATTAATTTGTGAAGTGCAAAAATACTAATTTTTCTCGCGTTGTCGTTTTTTCTGGGCTCGCTGAGGCCCCTCCCCCTCTTGCCTCGCTTCCCATCCCCCTTTCCTCTGCGCCCTTCCCTTCCCCCCGCTGTCAAGTGCCCACCCCTCCCCCTCCTGCCGACGCCACCACCAAAGTTCGCGCCGCTCCTCCCCCGCCCATGCGCGCGCGCGCGTTCCGCCTCAGCCCCGCGCGCGCCCCGCCCCGTGCCCCACGTGCAACGCCCCCACCAATGGGCGCACCGCGCGCGCGGACCCGGATCAGGAAACGCGCGGGTGCTTGATGGATGCGGCTGTCGGACCCCGGGGCTGGGGGAGGGAGCGGGCGCTTTGGGCCGCAGCCCCCCCCAACTTTGGTTCCCGTTAGAAATTCGGGCCCTGCCAAGCTGTAGGTCCTCTCAGGCCCTATGCATGCCCTACTCCTGGCCTACTCCTCGGGGCAGCCAGGCGACCGCGACTCAGAGTTGACTTAGGGCCCAGCCTAGCCAGGCTTCGCGTTTTCCAGGGTTCGAGGCTGGCTGGGGCGTGGGGAAGGCAAGGGCGTTGGGACGAAGGGGCATCCTGGTTTTTATCCAGGCCCTGGAATGGCCAGTAGACCCTTTTCTTAGCTGAATCCCGTCCCAACACCCTGCTGCTGCTGCATCTGCTGGAGAGCCAGTGCTTTGAGCCAGTGCTTGGCGGGAGCCGCAAAGGATGGGTGGGTGGGAAGCCGAGAGAAATCGACCCAAGGATGTAAAGCGAGGCCATTCTAGTATAACCAAATGGACCCTTTTTTCCCTCCTTCTTTTTAACCTTTATTTTTTGGGTTTTTTTCCCTAAGAAAATTTGGACCCTTCCTAATAGCATCTAATTTGATGGAGGTGGCGATGTGATCACGAGCTAAGTACGTCCGCGTTTACTGGGTGCGATTGTGGGAGAGAAGGTGTCTTAATGATGGGAATGGATAGAAGCGACGCCTCCACAAATCCGAGCTTTGAAACCAGTAACTTTCTATTTCACAACAATCCCCAAACAAAAACAAGCTAAGGATAGAATAGACACCTTGCCTGCCGGGGTCTGATCTCCGAAGGGTTTTTCCAGCTAAAAATTTTATGTTTTCTCTTTTGGATGCTGCTTTTTCAGGCTGTATGAGGCTAGAGTTGTATTTACAGGGCAGCCTATAATTTCTGAATTGCTGAAAATTAGCATATTAACGATATCAGTAGCTCCGGAAAGGAGGGAGAGGGGACTGTTGCCTGCCA